AAAACTGTCCACCAGGTGGGGTTCCAGGGCAGAGAGTGAGAGTCAAGATGACCCAGAGCTAGCTAGAAGCGAGACCAGCTTTTAAATCTCCGCTCGCCACATCAGCCTCGGAAGCGCTCACGCAGGGAGGGACAGCACACATGCTCGCATCTTAGACGCTCACACACATTCTCTTCTAGTGAATTCTAAAACAGAATTCGTATTGGGGGCAGGGGTGGTGGTCAAAGGGGAGCCTAGTTTCGTTTACATGCACATCATTCTAAACCGAAGGTAGGGTAGCAAATCGTCCGCTTTCGGAGTGCGAGAGTGAACGACACAGACAGGGGGCTGGGGAAACAGGACGCACGGGATTGGGCGAGCCGGGCACTAACTAGACGATGGCGGGGTTGGCACACAGAGCCCCATGTATCAGAGACACGACAGAAGAGAGGCCAGTTGACAGACGGATGCACGGATGCACCGACCCACATACAGCAGACAACACACAAACTCTCAGACACACCACACAGCTCCCCAGACGTCGGGCCGACCCAGGGACACACACGCGCGCACACACAGGTGCGGCCCCGGGCCACACGCACACCTCGCACAGGCACGCGCGCCTGGCCCTCTGCGGCCGGCTGGGAGAAGGTGGCCGCGCTCACCCGGCGTGTTTATTTACTCATTTGTATCAATGAACGTTTGTACCCGACTCCTCCCGCCTCTGGAGGCCGGGGCCGCCGCATTTGTCCCCGGCGCGGGACACTCACCGGGACCAACATCGGGGGTTCCTCCGACGCTGCAGGGGCGGAGGGGACTACAAACTTAGAGGGTCTCAAGGTGTCCGAGAGGAGGGGCTGCAGTGCTGGCGGCCCGGGACACGGACCGGGAGAGGGGAACATCGGGGTCTTGTAGGGTAAGAGACGTATGGGGCTGGCAGGGAGACCTTGGCATCTAAGGTTTGGGGTTTATGGACCCGGGCTGGAGGGCCTGGGAGCGGTAAATGGGAGGAGGGAGGGGTCCCTGGAGACAGGAGACTGCAGGGTTTCGCAGGATAGGAGCTGGGGACCTGAGCACAGGTTCAGGGGGTTTTGGTGCCCCTTAGTCGAGCGGCGGTCTGGCCGAGCCCTCAGCTGCTGAGGCGACAGCCCATGTGGGACTGCCCCGGGCTGGAGGAGGGGGCCGGGACCCCAGAGGGAGGAAAAGAGGGAGGGAAGTAGCCTAGCAGCCAAGCGGGCATCGTGCGAGTGCGCACCGTGCGTGTGTGTGTGTGTGTGTGTGTGTGTGTGTGTGTCTCATCTCGTCCGTCTGTAGGTGCCGGGCTCAGCGAGACGCCGGTGAGAAGGAAGAGGAGGCGAGAGGTGAACTGAGTTTGATCCTGC